ACTTTGAAAAAGCCTTTGATAAAGTATGGCGCAATGGCTTGTGGAACAAGATGTTAATGAGCGGAATTAATGGGAAAATGTTAACAATTATTTTTAACATGTACCAAGGCATTAAGTCAAATATATCTTTTACTGGTGAATGTTCTGGTTATTTTCTAGTGAAAACGGTTTGAGACAAGGAGAAAATCTATCTCCCTTTTTATTCAGTCTGTACTTGAACGATCTAGAAGAGTTTATGGTCCAAAATAACGTTCAGGGTTTGACAAACCTTAGTACTAAATTAGAAAATAATCTACATGTATACATAAAGCTTTTTATTTTACTATATGCTGATGATACACTACTTTTCTCGGACTGTCCAGTTGACTTGCATCTACAATTAAATGTATTCGGTGAATACTGTAAACAGTGGAAATTAAAGGTTAATATAGGAAAAACCAAATGTATAGGGTTTAGTAAAGGACGCAAAAACAATAGAAATGTATTTTTATTTAATAATGCGGTGATAGAGTTAGTGGACAATTTTACCTATTTGGGTACGGCATTTAGTCGAACTGGTTCATTCAATGAAACGAAAAAATTCAATATTAAAAAGGCTACTATNTTGTGGAATAAGATGTTAATGAGCGGTATTAATGGGAAAATGTTAACAATTATTTTTAACATGTATCAAGGCATTAAGTCAAATATATCTTTTAATGGTGAATGTTCTGGTTATTTTCCATGTGAAAATGGTTTGAGACAAGGAGAAAATCTATCTCCCTTTTTATTCAGTCTGTACTTGAACGATCTAGAAGAGTTTATGGTCCAAAATAACGTTCAGGGTTTGACAAACCTTAGTACTAAATTAGAAAATAATCTACATGTATACATAAAGCTTTTTATTTTACTATATGCTGATGATACACTACTTTTCTCGGACTGTCCAGTTGACTTGCAACTACAATTAAATGTATTCAGTGAATACTGTAAACAGTGGAAATTAAAGGTTAATATAGGAAAAACCAAATGTATAGTGTTTAGTAAAGGACGCAAAAACAATAGAAATGTATTTTTATTTAATAATGAGGCGATCGAGTTAGTGGACAATTTTACCTATTTGGGTACGGCATTTAATCGAACTGGTTCATTCAATGAAACGAAAAAATACAATATTAAAAAGGCTACTATAGCAATGTATGACGTTATAAAGAAAGGTAGACTACATAATTTATCAGTTCATTGTATATATGATTTATTTAACAAGATTGTAAAACCCATACTGTTGTATGGTTGTGAAGTTTGGGGTCTTTCTGACCTTAAGGTAATTGAACGTGTACATTTAAAGTTCTGTAAATTATTACTAGGGTTAAAAAGTAGCACCCCTAATTATATGGTATATGGAGAACTAGGTACTAGTCCACTTGAAATAACAATAAAAACAAGAATAATATCATATTGGTCACAATTGACTCATTCTAAAGGAAACAAAATTAATATTATATTGTATAAATTTCTTTGCCATCAACATAATGTTGATGATAAACCGGTTCCATATATAAGCTTTATTAAACGTATTTTAAATGAATGTGGTATGAGTTACCTATGGAATGTCCAATATACTTCAGAATGTACTATCACATGGCTAAAGCATGTTATTAACCAAAGATTGTACGACCAGTATTTATAGAAATGGCAGAGTGATGTACACACTTCATCAAAAGCTACATGTTATAGGATTTTTAAAAATAATTGTCATTTTGAAAATTACTTAGATATTTCAAGTGATACAGATAGAGTTACATTTTGTAAATTTAAGACTACTAATCACAAATTCATTGTTGAAACCGGCAGATGGCATAATATAGAGTATAATGAAAGAAAATGTCCACAATGTAACAGTCAGCAAATTGGTGACGAATTCCAATACTTGCTTGAGTGTCCGTCACTATCTGGGTTTCGAATTTTATATATAGACAAATATTTTTGGACGAGACCAAATGTAATTAAGTTTTATGAATTGATGAATACTACTAATATAAAAACACTGAAGAAACTTTGTACTTTTATTAGAATAATTATTAACAATATTTGACCTCCTCGATATAAATGTGTATATATTATGAAACAGTACTGTGTACAACCGACTACGAACACTACAATTACTATAAATTATATTGTAAATATGTTTCTCTATACATTGTATTGTGAAAGAGAATAAAGTTGAATTGAATAATTAGCCCAAGGTCAACGTAATGCAAAGAGGTATGGCGGGTTGCTATGCCTATTTCCCAAAAGCTATGTTACGCTAGTGTGCGCGTTCAACCGTGCACTGTTATGACGCGTCCTCAGGTATTTTTTTTATACAGATAGCTATATCGGAATCCTGTGCGAATATCTGTAACTCTTACCAATA